ATATATATTTAAAAATATATTATATATATTTTTAAACTATTTACAAAAATACCGCAAATGTTGGGGTGCTTCTTACTCCCCGCATCATCTTATAATCTGAAGAATATGGTACGACCACAGGAAGAAGAAAAAAAACCATGAGGCTTTTTGCGTTGCTGTGCAGTAGCAATCATAGGAGCAGTAGCGAAGGGATACGCGCGACAGTGCCGCAGACACTCGGCCGCCGTTCCTCGCGCGCGCGGCCAATTGACAGCGCGTTCAAAGCGCCGACGTTTACAGCTCCCTGAATCATGGCCCGTCGAGTGCCTTGAAGACAACGATATAATTATACGGTGACAAAAAAAAAGTAACAAAAAATTTGGTACGATTGATTGGGAAGCCCGCACCCTAAATAATTAATCACGCAAACGGCGCGGCGTGATTATAAGTACCCTGACGTCACGGTGTGTACGTGCGGCGGAGAATATAAAATAGCATCATGGGCAAAGGGATAGCGTAAATTAATTTGAGTTCTGGCATGATGCCCTGTATTGAATGAAGCGTTTCCCCTCCCCGTTGAATGCCCGGAGATTTCTCCGGGTGCTCCGGATTTCTCCTGCGTGTAAACACTCATTCATTGGTCGATAACGCCTTGATATATAGAGAAACGTAGAGCTTGGGTAATTGTCGGTGCTGGCTCATCAATTGGCTGCCTTCCTCCTCGCACCTCTGAGTCATTCTCTCTCCAAGGGACTCAGAGAATACTATGCGGCACGTTACAAATTGAAATAGTTATAAATGGGCTCACTTTGATTAGTCTGCTTGGAACCCTGTCCAACATGTTTCCGGAACACAGAGAGGCCGGGCTTATTAAATATCTGCAATGATGTATGTCATAATTAATTTAGATATAAAAACGCTGCAGCAGATTTCCCTGCAGGGATAATCACGCTCGGCTAAGTTGGCATAGATGCTGGTGGCTTGGGGATAAGGGGGGCGGGGGAGCAAGGTGGACTGTACATTGTGCTTTTTAATGCAAAGAACTCCTAAAAAGTTGGCATAATAATGGCTAACACGCACCTGAATATGAAACACAGGCAATATAATGTGCTTCAAAAAAAATCTCCGGTGCAGAGCGCCAGAAAAGCGACTTCTAAGGGATATGTTCTAGGACGCATTTCCCCCCCTCCCCTCACAAAACGGTACATCCTGTGAGCTATACATTGCACCGATGCTTTCAATCGAAAAGAAAGCAAAGACTCCTACATCGATGAGGGTGAGGGCTTCGTGATAACCACCAGCACCACCGCCGCGGGAGACAGTTTGACGACCGAGTGCGAGTGTTCCCGAGTGAATTGATGCACCGGCGAAAATGTGCAAAGCACGGATAACACCGGAGCGCCCTCCCCCTACCTTGCTCCCCCATGGACACACGGCCTCCCAGACGGGGACACAGGAGAGACGCGAAGGTAAAAGGGGCAGCCCAACTATTGCCTGCTCTTAAGCCACCGTTGGCAGATAGGCCGTCGCTCGAGGAAGCTCCAGAGACACTCTAGAGGGTATTTTGGTCTACTCTTCCACACTGACCAGGCGTCTTGGGGACACGGAGACGGAAGCAATACACCCACTGATGGACTGGCCAAAATAATGTATGTGTGTTGATCTTCTTCCAAAACTGTACGTAGCCAACTACTAATCGGAGGTGCGGGGAAAGACAACAAACTAAACACAAAAAGCAGCTCTAAAGAAATGAGTTTTCAATTTAGTATAAGAAAACAAAGCTCCAGTGACTTCCTAATATCGGAAGGAAGAGCGTTCTAGACGGCAGCTTAAGCGCATCTGAAAGCTCACGATGCAGTGGCTTCCTTTGTTCGATGCTCAGCGAAAGGCCGCTGCTGCGAGGATGACCGGAGTTTGCGTGATGGTTTACGCTCCTTGACGAGGATGTGATCAAGTTGTCCACTTTGGAGGCAATTATTCTCCAACCACCCTCGACGGTTCCTTGCTTCGAATAAATCTAAATACTGCATTCAAGCTCCAATATGACCTCGGACAGAACAACCAATGGTCATGTTTTGATGGCGGAAGGCGTGAATCCGACTGCCTCTTCTCAAACATGTCCATGTTCCGTCTGGAGGCCCACTTCAAACGCTCAGATTTCCAACAACTTCTGCAAGGGCACCGCAGGAAAAAAAAAAGGGAATGTTTAGGCTTTGACTGAGCCACTCGATTAGATGTGCGGTTGTGTCGGGAGTGGGAGTTGTGACGGAGTGGGTGCTGCTGGTGAGGAGGATGACGTGGGGGGGGGGGGGGTTAAAAGCCACAGATGCGGTCTCAGGAGACGTTCATCTGGTGGGCTGTCAAGTGCCCTGGGACCTCACAGCTGTTGGGGACCCCGCGTGTTGGTTTTACAAGGCAGAGCGTTGTTCGGCAGGACAAGGAGCCACATTCATTCATCCTCACCCCGGCGTCACAGCTGATTCTGGATGACGGACAATAGACTTGGGCTGTCGAAGGTATACGCCGCAGACTTTACAGCCACGAGCTATTATTAACCCGTTTATTTGCCTCTAGGGGTAATTTGGAGGCACTCACGTTATTTCCATTCACCAGTTACTGTAAAATCGGATGCACTCGGCCTGTGTGCTCTTCAAATGTAGCACATCTAGGTTGCATTCATTTTTCCAAGCATGTCCAATGCAATATATTTTTTTTATTATAATAATGATATACAGCCCTCTGTCAACCTACCATTGTACATGCTGTGTGAATGGTGGGGATTGTTTGACCATTCTTCACCACTCTGGTCAACGTGGGTTGGTGAAGGTTGGACCAATGGCGAGTTCACATATCACTCGCCGCCGATTTTAGTCGTTGCTGTGAATCGAACTCGGGTCACTGGGGCTCAACGCCGCCACCCCAAAGTTTTTATATATTTACAATTATTGAGCGTGGGGCAAAAAAAAACGTCAGCAACTGATAAGCTTTATTTTGGGGACACTTGGCAAAGTAGAAATCTGGCTGGAGGCACCTGTCCCTGGTAATGGATAATCAAGGGCCTTTCAACATGACATCTGCTGACATGGGGAGGCTGCTTAAGGTACAGAACCCAGTGGCGTTGATACCCAGACCCCATGCATCCATCTGCCCAAGGATTAAGCTGACAATGACTCGTGCACTTTTGCAGCCGAAAGATTAGAAATGCAACTCTGAGATTTCACCGGTAAAAAAATATTCACTGCCAATTTTTCGGAAAAATAAGTAAATGAGTATTACATGTGTGAAAGAACTCTCTCTCCGTCAGTCGGCTCATTACTGAGTGTCCATGATCTATCTGCAATTTTGAGTTTTGCTTTAACGTTGGTATAACTGTCCTCCCCGTTAAATCCACAAAACTATGCATATAAACTTAGTCTGTCTACATCATCAACAGTTTCCACAGGTTTCCCCCCATCACACCTACAGCTGTGTCCAAAATACTTGAGTTCCATCTCGTGTGTGATCGAACAATGGCCGTATATATATACCGTATATAAATATACCGTATATATATTTTTAAAAATCCGCTTTCAAGCTGCGCATGCAGCGCAGAGTTCGCGCTTTGAACCTTGCCGGCTCAAATGGGCAGAAACGAAAGCTGGCTCTGCGGGACAAATCACCTTCCGTCGAACACCACACCTGCCTAATCGGACCCGTTTTCAATGGGACAAATATGGTCGGATTAAAGAGGTGGCGATGACCAAGTGTCGCTGCATGGAAGCAGAGCGGGCGACGGGGATGAAGTTACGCAGCCCTCGCCGCTATCGCTCGGCTCGCCCTTAAATGTCTCTTGGTCAACGGTGGCTTTTCTCCGCCTCGCGTAATCACGCCACATTGCAGAGAGCCTCTGATACGCGACACTTGGCCATGATGTAAGTGTTTGTGCGATTCCAGTTTGGGCCAACATGGCTCACGTGACGATCCTGCCATTTGTGTTACTTTACGTTTTTTTATTTTTAAAAATCATAATCAGAAGCAATTTTTCACTTCTGATGCAAAGCGTGGCTTCGAGCCCATGATTTGGATACTCCCACAACTTTAAAAAAAATCCTCCCCAATCGGTCATGGGTGTGAGCGTATGTGTAAACAAAACATTGTTGTGCACATCTAAGCAAATGTGTGCGAATGCAGGTCTAGATGGGAAATATATCATGGGGCAATCTAGACACTGCGGTCATTACACAATTATATAAAACACCTGCAAGGATATAGCCATACAGATGCTCAACATTACAGGGACGGCTTGAGTGTTCCTGTTGTTCAAATTATATCTTGCTATTCTTGGTTCTTTCGGTGAAGTCACGTAGAAGGGAAACAATAAAATAATAAAAATATAAAACAATAAAATTATCACGACGTTTCGACTGCAACATAAGCAATCATCATCAGGTGTGAAAACCACGGCAAGAAAATTTGAAAAAAGGTGGCGGTTTTTTTAACGTTAAAAAAACCCGCCACCTTTTTTTTTGCAGACAACCGGCAAATTGTCACAATTCGGGTTCGCAATTCGAATCAACGAATCAGTTCCTTTTTTTGGCTCGTTTGTAAAGTTCGTTGGCTTCTTTGTTTCAGAAAATAGTCCGTAACCGATTACCATATGCACAAGTCAATGCAGTGTTTATCATGAGCACGAGACTCGATTTTCCAATGGACAAAGTCCACGGGTCGTTTCAACCCCAGTGAATCCACTTTGCTTCATCAAAATGCACGACACCCAGATCGGCCATTTGCTTCATCAAAACGCACGTCACCCAGATCGGCCGCCAACAGCCATCCTTAGCCACGTGTGTAGGTTGAACTTTTTTTCGTACCACACGTAGCCAACCGTGCTCGTCCAAACAAGCCTCTTATCCTAGCACAGCGCATTTGCCGCGGGTCACCACCACCACCACCACCGCCGCTCCCGTCTGTGCACAAAACACGCGCCGAGAACGCCGCGGCTACGAAGCGACCGCGCGTGACCGCGGTGGGACAGTACTCACCGAGCAGCGTCACCTGCTGCGTGACTCCGTACACGTCGATGAGCGCCCACAGCGGGCCGGCGGCGTCGACCCCGCGCAGGAACGGCACGGCCTCGCCCGCGTCGACGCGGTAGAACGCGCGCCCGTCCGCCTCGGCCCAGAACTCGAGCGCGGAGCCGCGTCCCGCGCAGCTCTCGGGCAGCGCCTTGGCCCAGTAGCCCGGGCGCGCCGCCAGGTCGGGGCACGCGTAGCGAGGGATGCGCGCCGAGTCGAGCGTGCCGGGGTCCCGGCTCGTGAAGCCGAAGCGCAGCGCGCCGCTCCAGCCGGGCGCCGTCGCCGTGAAGCGCAGGCGCACGCGCTCGCACGGCCGCAGCGGCCGGTGGCCGAAGGCGACGCCGTGGCAGAAGCTGTGGCGCCGGGTGGCGCGCGTCCGCCCGCCGTCCAGCGTCACGTTGCGACCCTTCGCGCGCGGGTGGAAAAGCAGCTGACCGTACGGCGCCAGGGTGCCGCCCGAGGAGGAGGCGACGGCCGACGCGGCCGCCGCGGCCGCCGCGGCAGAAGAGGCGGACGAGGAGGTGGCCGTGACCGCCGACGCCGGGTGCTGCTGGGAGCCGCGCTTGCGCACGGGACGCACGGCCGTGTCGCAGCACAGCGCGTCGGGGGACAGCACCATAGAGCGGTGGCCGGAGTCTGCACGTGCACGCAATCGGGAGGGAAGGCACGCGAAGCGAGCGGTGCGAGGGTTAGTGGGTGTCACGGTGGTGAGATGTTAACTACCTCGCCCGATATACAGGTCATGGGTTCGATCCCGACTCTGATGCCTGTATATTTGTAGTCTGAATGTTCTCCTAGTGGTCACGTGGATTTTTTTCTCTGGGCATTCCACATTTAGAAACGTGCGTTTAGAGTATTTGGCTGCTATAAATTTCCACGTGATAAGCCACTTCGTTGGGCTATCATTTGAGACCAGGTAGCTTCTAAAAAAGAGCTATACAGCTCAGTGGGCCTTACCTGGCAAAATAAAATTTGCGATTGTTTGACGGAGGCATTCCAGCGTTTTTGCATTGCACGCCCCAATGTCCCGTGTTCTGTCTCAGCCATTGTAAGATTTGCTCGTGAGCAGCACGTTCTGCGGGTGAGGTGACGTGCCACCCACATTACCCTCGTCAGACATTCACCAGTCACCTGACCCTCGCCCAGCATGCTCTAGGCCACTGTAAGTGGGAGAGTGCCCGGATACGCAGTGTTAAGACCCGTGAGCCACATTATTGAGTCAATATCAATAATATTTTGAAACGGTGACAACATTCACTAAAAATGCATAGTCTGAGCTTTAAAATGACTTCTCCTTCATTGACATTGGTGGAGTAGTCTGGGAGAAGTATGCAAATGTGTTACTCAAGTTTTTTAATAAAGTTGTTTTGCTTATGGTAATACAATTTTTATATGCAAGATGTGTTTGTATTATATTTGCATGAACGTTTCATTTAATTTGCATTTGCACAAATTTTTAGGACCATCTCTAAAAATGTAATGTAAAAGATCTTTCTCAATTAGAATAAAAGCTCGCGTAAAATTCCTAAGTTAAAGATCCTCCGCATAGCCTAAACAGACTTTTGGAACAAGTTTAATTCGCGAGGGGGTGGGTGGCCAGCAACACACCCTTTGCCCCCCCAGTTGGCGATATTTACTCACCAAACCAGGTACTTATTCGAGGTTGAGTCGACCTAGAGGAGGCCCAGGACCGGTTCAGATATTCGTCACCGATGTTGGCTGTGAACGGGAATAAATTTCGGGCCTCCAGGTTCGTAGCGCAGCGCTCTAAACGCAAAACTACCGTTCCTTCTCCACACACGTAGAACCCATAAAACACGCATGAGCTAAAAAAAAGCTCCTCAATGCTAAACCAATGTTATGTGTGTACCTACAGAGGAGGCACAATGCGTAATGATGAAGCACAGATATACCCACTCATCCAATAATCGTCTTTACCAACGTCACCTCACATCGGCTGCCACAACCACAAATGCAGCTCGGGCCCCAGCTGGCACAACGTTTGCTCCACAATTTTTTTTGTTAAGCGCGATGTAAAAATGAAAGGGCTGGGTTTAAAAAATAAATAAATAAATGGAGCTCCCATCTTTAACGCGAGCTCCTCTCGAGCTCTGATCACAGCACTTAAGTCTTCCCCACTGACAACAACAATTCCGCAGAAAACGCTTGCAGCGACGTTTTGTCGTGCCGGGCTACTCGCTGTCGAGACGCATTGCAACGCGGGTCGACGTCTGTCAAGATCATTTCTCGGGCTGACTCCCTCGCACGTGGACCGTGTCTCTGCATTATTGATGCCTGAAGGCGGAAATGCTAAACTGGGGTGACGGCACTGAGCTTCTGATCTCAGAGAGAAGTATCGTCTCCCGAGGCGTGCAGACGGTTGTGTGTGGGGGGCGGGGGGGTGCATTTCTCTTTCCTGCGCACGCAAGGATCGTCTGGTGAAAGTAACTCGACTGCTGATGTTGGCGGAAAGGAGGTCCCCAGATTGGATAGGTCCCGTTTCCCCAGGTAACACTGTGTACGTGCGGAAATACGCGTGCGTGGAAGTTTCGAGGGGTATTAGGGGCCGTCCATAAATGACGTCACGCACCTGGGGGGGGGGAGGGGGGTCAGACATTTGTGACGATGTGTGACGAGGGGGGGGGGGTTTGAGAAATTGTGACGTCACATCAAAATGCGCAACTTTAAATACATATAGACAACACGTTCTACTTAATTAAATAGACTTTTTAATACATGTTTCTCCTACAGCATCAGAGTGCTGCGCCACATTAAATACGCACTACAATGACAATAGTTTAAACCGATTTGAAGCATGTTTTATTTGGGGGGGGGGCAGAGCTTTGTGACGTCATATTTGAGGGGGGGGGTCTGACTTTTTGTGACGCCGTGTGACGAGGGGGGGGGGGGGTCAAAAATCGTCTAAAATCGCATGACGTCATTTATGGACGGCCCCTTACGTTAATAATTATCGCACCGCATTGTGCTTAAGTGTCCTACCTACGATGGCGGCCCTCAATGTATTACATTTCCCGAGGACAACAATGTCGCCAAGTACAAGGTGATCATCAAGCTCTCGTACATTATAAAATCATTATAATTAGAAAGCAGTTTGATCTTGGCTTATTTTAACTACACAATGCGTACATGTTGCAGTCTTTTTGTACGTTTCGAAATTCATGTAGTCACACCGATGTGACAAAAATAAATGTCTTGTAAAGGTATTGTCCATTTTTTTTAAATTATAATTAGACAGTGGTTATTAACTCCGCCAATAACGCTATACACACACTCGCACTTGGCAGCGCGAACATTTAAACCCACACGTGCCCGCCGTAGCATCATCGTATTGAGATGTTCACCAGCATCTCGGCTGAGATTTTTTTTTTAATGCTAATGCTCGGCGCTGTTCAAGATCACTCAAGCTTTTTTTCATGTTTTTTTTAATAAACACACTTTATCTTTAACGTAATCCCACAATTCAACCATACCATTCGGGCTACCGTCCAATTATGAATTATTTCATGAACAATATCTTTCAAGGACACCCTGTAGATGAATTGCGCTGCAAAGGCAACCTCATGGTTTTGCTGCCCGTGTGACTTAAGCGTTGCTCATTTTAATGAATCTCTAAATAAACTGGTGGTGAAGCGACAGCGTAGTGGCGAGCAGCGCAGTGCGCTATGAACCCGGCAAGCTGAGTTCAATTACCGGTTACGGGTGACATCAGTGGCGAGTTGTATCTCAACCAGTAGAGGTCTACACTCGTCAGCAACCCACACTGATCAGCGCGGTAAAGTATGGTCAAATGACAACCATAACTGAGACTCTGGGGGGGGGGGGCCTTCATCCAGCAGTGGAATGACAAAGGGCTGTAATTTGTAATGCAGCATATTGTTATTCTTTGGGTCTTTCGTTAAAGTCACGTAGATAGGTTCAAATAAAAAAAAAGATTTTTTTTTCATTTTTTTATTTATTTGAACCTATCTACGTGACTTCACCGAAGGAGCCAAAGAATATTAATTCCTGCAGTCACGAAATGTTTAAGTCAAGATTCAGCATATTGTTGTATGCCTTATTTACATAGTGTAGACAGAGTGTTCCCATTCCAAATAAAGGTGACTAACTCGAGTGCGTAAATTCACTCATGACCTCAGTCGGAAGCATTTTCCAGCGGGGGGGGGGGGGGGGGAGACATTGGGAATTGCTTTTGATATTTTTCCACAATCGTGGGTATTTTGTGATGAGCACAATATTAGTCACGTGGCCACGAGGAGATAAGGCTTCAAGGGAACATCATCAATCTCATGCTCATAACCTTGCCGGCACGGAACTCTAACCCTCACACGAACTCTAACCCTCGCCAGAACTCTAACCCTCACACGAACTCTAACCCTCGCCAGAACTCTAACCCTCACACGAACTCTAACCCTAGCCCAAACTCTAACCCTCACACGAACTCTAACCCTCACAGGAACTCTAACCCTCACCCGAACTCTAACCCTCGCCCGAACTCTAACCCTCACACGAACTCTAACCCTCACACGAACTCTAACCCTCACACGAACTCTAACCCTCACACGAACTCTAACCCTCACACGAACTCTAACCCTCACACGAACTCTAACCCTCGCCAGAACTCTAACCCTCACACGAACTCTAACCCTCGCCAGAACTCTAACCCTCGCCAGAACTCTAACCCTAGCCCGAATTCTAACCCTCACACGAACTCTAACCCTCACACGAACTCTAACCCTCACACGAACTCTAACCCTAGCCCGAACTCTAACCCTCACACGAACTCTAACCCTAGCCCGAACTCTAACCCTCGCCAGAACTCTAACCCTCGCCAGAACTCTAACCCTCGCCCGAACTCTAACCCTCACACGAACTCTAACCCTCGCCCGAACTCTAACCCTAGCCCGAATTCTAACCCTCACACGAACTCTAACCCTCACACGAACTCTAACCTTCACCCGAACTCTAACCCTCACTCACACGAACTCTAACCCTCACACCAACTCTAAACCCTCGCCCGAACTCTAACCCTCACTCACACGAACTCTAACCCTCACACCAACTCTAAACCCTCGCCCGAACTCTAAACCCTCACACCAACTCTAAACCCTCGCCCGAACTCTAACCCTCACTCACACGAACTCTAACCCTCACATGAACTCTAAACCCTCATGCTAGTCGTTTACTGGCAACAGGACGGTATAAGCAAATAACTAATTTGATACATGCTTCTGAAAGGTTTATAGCTATGTGAGGCAAATAGAAACGTGTGCATAATTGCTGTCTTCAACGCTGGCATGTATTTGTTTTCAATGCTTCGCTGACCGCAGTTTGCATTCTTGGGAGCGAGACGACAACGGATATGCCCGGTCAGATAAAAAAAAGACTGATTCAACATTCAAAGTAATGTACGTAATAATATTTTCGTTGACAAATACCTGCATTCATAAATATACACTATTTCACGTGAATGTTTTATAAACTTTGGAAGGAAACTTCCTCGAAACATAAATCTGAGATAATGTTATTATTATAAGCGTTATTATCGCCACAGTTTAAATGTGTAGGATGACAATTGCTAATATACTTTCAAAAAATTATATACAAAATCCATTGAATAATTTGCACTCCACAATTGCTAAACAAACATGAAGATACAGCATTGTATTCCTACAGACATATGATCATATGTTTAAGATTATAGACTCTCCAAAATATGATGGGATAGAGAGGGAGATAAGGCGTAAACTGAACGTCATTGTAATTTACAACAGTTACAATGATATATACATATCAGACGTGCATTAACTTCGTTATTTATTTCCCTCCCCCACCACCACCCCCCCCCCCAAGATAATCCTGGGTCTTGACCCGAGCCACTGCCGAGCGATCAAACTTCTTCGGGTACACAAGGCAGGCGCGTGGGGCGCTGCGTGCAAAGGGGAGCAGAGGGGCTCTTTCAGCTGCCTATTCCCAACACCTGTTCTCTGCTGTCGTGCCCACGGCCCACAGAGCTCGACTGGCACACACATCTCAGGGACCTTACCAAAGTGCTTTTGCTCTCCAAATCCCAAAGCACCCACACAGCCGTCCCTGCCCTTCCACCCCCGCTGCACCCCCCCCACCCCCCCCCCCCGTTCTCTCGTGCCCCACCTCACTGTGTTCAGCTGTCTTGTGTATGCCGAAGCTGTAGGAGAAGAGTGTGAAGCCCCCCCCCTCCCACCCCAAGCATAAGGGGAGATTGGAGGAGGCTGAACCCACCCTGATGAAGGCTTCACCCCCCCCCCCCCCCCCCCCCCCTTGGCTAACCCGTAAATTCTAACAGGGTGCAATGAAACAATGGACATCGCGGTCTTTCCTCGCAGGGACTAAAATCTCGGACGGGAATGAACGATAGACAAAAGCGGAGCGTAGCGTTCAACTTCAGTTTTTAAAAAAAAATCAACACTGGCTGTGTCGTGCACACCTCCGCCCCCCCCACCCGCAGGATTTTGCAATGCCCCCCCCTCCCCTTTAGACAAGTTCACGCTACAGGTCCGTGTCAAGCAACAGTGCCGCTTTCGTGTTGCCGCGGTAATGATGCGGCGCAGGTGAATTTTCATCGCGTTTCTAATTTAAAAAGCCACTCGGTGAAATCCCGCCGGAAGAAAGGAATTGCAGTTTGGCGTTTTGATCACCGCATTAGAAAAAAACTAAAACGAGCGGCATGTTTCTTTTTTGTTGTTGTTGTTGGGAAGCCGACCTTAAGAATAATAAATGAATCGCGTAATTAAGTTGACACCGTGCGAAAATAGGTAAAGGCTCTTAAGAGAGAAACGTGGCTCGTGGGGTCCAGGCGATGTGGCCAGACCTCCGCAGTTATCGCAGACCAGCATTGCCCCGGGCTTCTTTTATTCACCGCCGAGCTCCTGCAGTGCAGACTTGTTCCTTGAAACTGCGCTGATTCTAGCGAAGGACTTCACGAGCACCAAAGGCTCGAATGAAAAAGCTGCAGTCGAGGATGACGCTGGAGCAAAGTGCTACGCGGAGCAGCCGCTGCAACGTCCCTGTCCTCAAGCAGCCATTTGGCAATTCCACTGCCGGTTGAAAGGCGTCGTATCTCATGATCCTGCGATTCAGCACTGTTTATGAACGTTGAAACAGCAAACCCGTGATATAAGAGCTAATCTAGGTTATAGGAGTTTATAAATGCACCTACTTACTCAGGCAAGTATGCAGCAGGCAGCTCGCTATGAACTCTGCTGCCCATCAGCATACTATGAACACTTTTTGATAGGCAGGCATTGAATCTGAGAAATTGCATATCCAAGAAATACAATTCCAATACATCCAATTATTTCCTTATGTAATGCAGCATCAGATTGAGGAAATATCTATTTTTACAGCTAGGAGCAATCTTCTCTAGCTCAAACGATTTTGAAAAAAAAAAGCATTGATATGTTTGTTCTAGAGACGAGTAACTGAGATATGTACAGTAATTCGCATCCGCTCAAAATTGTATTTAAACACTTGGTAAGTTCAAGTTAATGCCTTCTCGAGAAAAAAAATCCAAGGGACAAAACACATTGGGCATGAGCTCTCTGTCTCGGAGAGAGAAGGAAACGATTATTGCTCCGTGATCCAACACGATCAATCTGCGCACGGTCACTGAAAAACATACAACCCGGCTTTGCGTATTTGAAGTGCACATTTACACAAACACCGTGACATTTTGTGGGTAGTTTATAGCGGGCGGGGGGAGGGGGGGATTTATTTTTCAGAAAAACAAGTCAATCCGAGACATTTGTTTATACTACTTTTAAACGGCTGATATATGCAGAAACTGTTATCGTTTTTCTCTCTTCTTTCAGCCCTTTGTCAAAATCTTTGCTGGACGAACGCCTCCGCACCACTCGGCACGTCGGTAAAAAAACCCGCTGTCGACAAACATGAAAGTAGCGACTGTGTGCATTTGATGGTGCTTAAATATTTAAGGGTACTCGAATGTGATTTCAATGAGTAGAGGCTACAGCACTCCAAGCACACCCAGTTATAAGAGCATTTCTACTGTACACTCTTAAGAGCTGCCAGGGAGGTTTTCTCGCAGGAAAGGCAGAACACAAGCCTCCCCCACCTCAATTTCAGCCGTCCGAGCACTTTGCTGTTATGTGACCCCCAAACTTAAAATAAAAAGAGGTCAAGGTGCAGCCCTGATATGTCTTTCTCTCGGGACTGTTGGCAGAAGGGCGTCAACTAGAGCAGTGGTCTTCTTTGGTTCTTTCGGTAAAGTCACGTAGAATGAGAATAAAATAATAAATTGATAAAATAAAATAACACAATAATATTCTCACGACGTTTCGGCCACAACACAAGCGGCCTTCATCAGGTGAAGGGAGGAGACTGTCTGGAGGACAGCGCTGTCCTCCAGACAGATGAATCCTTGCAGTCACGAAAGCTTTAAATCGAAATTTAGAGCAGTGGTTTTCAGAGTGTGGTCCCCGGATTTACCGGTGGTCCGTGACGGTCCTCCAGGTGGTCTGCGGGTTGCCGTTTCAATTCCAGGTTGATCCGGAAATAATAAAAATGTTCATACCTTTTGTTTCGGACATTGATTTCTATTTTGCTCACGATACTTAATTAAAAAAAACATGAAGTTAGATAAACTACCCTGATTAAACTAACCTAACCCTAAGATTTAAATGCCCTCCCTAAAAAAAACACGACAACCTTATACCTGCTTTAAAAAAAAATGTCCCGGTAATATGAATGGTTTTGAATTATTGATATTGAGAGAGATAAGCGAATTCGTTTTGTCACCAGTGGTTGGGTGGTGGGGGGCTGGGTGGTGGGGGGCTGGGTTGTTTCCGTGGAAATGTTTGCATCAGCTGAGTGGTCTGCGGGCCCAAAACAAGTTTGAGAGACACGGAACTGGAGGGCAACTAGAGGGGACACGGAACCAGAGGGGATTTCGGCTGACTCCTCCACGCCGGCCAAAAATGCCTTGAAATAAGCGTGGGTACTCACAATTTACCACACCGGACCTGCAGACCGACCGACCGACCGACTGTGGTCCACCCAATTATCCCGTTCGAGTGGACGGAGGCAACGGGACAAGTCGAGAAGCTTGCACCGTTGGTTCCGCCGCTACGCTAGAAGATGGAGTCAAACCGGCGACCTCTGGATTGCAAGTCCAGTGTGCTAACCACTACGTAATGTCAGCATCTGTCAAAACTTAAAAACCGTCTTAAGTACACTGTCAATTTTTTATTTAAAGCTTTCGTGACTGCAGGGATTCATTCTTGGTTCTTTCGGTAAAGTCACGTAGAAGGGAAACAATAAAATAATAAAAATATAAAACAATAAAATTATCTCATCACCTGATGATGAGTGCTTGTGTTGCAGTCGAAACGTCGTGAGAATTTTATTGTTTTATGTTTTTATTATTTTATTGTTTCCCTTCTACGTGACTTTACCGAAAGAACCAAGAATACTCTGTCAATCTTTGTTAAATTAAAACAAAAAAAATATCGCTGGTCAGCCAGCCAGCTAGTTCATTAACGCTCAAATTGATTTTGTGCTATTTTGATGAGATGTAATAAGAACACAGGTAAGTAGGTTAGTTTAACCTCTAAAATGACTTCCAGTTCAATGTATTTAACCTTCATCTGTTTAAACAAACAAGTTCAAATCGACAAAATAGTGAGTTCGGTAACGTAATATCGTTATAATATATAATTTACAACCCTTTGTCAATCTGTGACCAGGAATTTAAATTGAGTGATCAGTGTCAGAGCACAGTACGCAAACCACTGCATCACTGTGCACTATTCACTTGGAGACCTGAGTTTGAGTCCGGACATCGGTGCTAACTGAAATGGGATCCTTTACAATCCCCTGAACTAATCCGCACCGGCCTGCATGGTGAAGTATGGTCAAACAACTCGCACGGCTGACACAACATGAGCAGACCATCAACCAACAGAATGGCAAGGGCTGTAAATGATTGGAACTGTGAACACTTTCAATATGAAGTGAACAACATGTCAAAGTGTTAACGGCAGGCTAAACGTAAAGAAATTTGATTAGCAACAGCTGGCTGCCCTAAGTATGACATTGCCAATGAATGGGTTATATTCGCTCTATAGAATGTGAGAGGGAGATGGATATTTTTGGATAAACATTGATTTTGTCTACGTAACATCAGTACAGCTCGGTTACACAGCAATGTCTGCCCAAACTAACGCATTCAAACATCTTGACGAAACACACACCTCCCAGTTTTGGCTCTTAACAACCGGCGTAAATAATTCCAACAGGCTACCTCTTAAAAACGTCGTTCTCTGAAACATAACCGCAAAAATAATTAAAATTCCACTTAAATTTATCCCCGCAACCCCCTCCCACCCCAACATTTTTTTGTTAGCACAACACACGCAATGTACGTGATGATTAAAAAAAATCAATTCCCCTGCTTACCACATGGCTTTTGCTTGACCTGCTTTCCACCCATGATATTCACAGAATTGTTGAGACGGGCTCAACCGCTCCTGCTGCTGTTGCCGTCTTCCAGGGCTGAGAATAGCAGCGCACACTAAGAACCGTGAGAATCTGGAGGAGCAGCCCAAGGGGGGCTCGGACTGGGGAGGGCTCTGAGAGGTAAGTGTGGCTGACTGCGGAGGGGCTGACGGAAGAGGAGGAGTCACTTCGGTGTTAAGGGTGTCCTGCACACGTGAAGGCCAGCTAAACCCCACACGGGAAGATTGCTGGGAGGGGGACAGCCACCCTGGACGTGGAGATACACACGTCAGACCTCATCTGCTCCACAAATAGCATTAATTTATAGGCGTGCAGCAGAGCCCTGGGGAAGGCTGGAGGGGGGAGGGTGGGGATGAAGGGGAGGGATTGGTAGGAGTGTGCTCTTGGTACATGGCACGCGAAGACCAGAGACTTGGGCCAATCACGGCCCGGTTGCTATATACGGCAGGGGCCTTCCGAATGTGACTGACGCCTTGGGCAGCCGGCGTGGGCTTAGCTGGGGCCTGTGCAAGCCAGAATGAGGTGTCCTTTATCCTTTTAATCTATTTACGCGCAACGCAGATCAGCCAGCCGCATCTGGTCTTAGCAAGTTGACTAATAACGAAAAGGGATCAATTGTAAGGTTACGTGTTTGCGATTTTAAAAAAAGATACAAACAACAATCACTGTCGCGTGTAAAAAAAAAACTGGTTTGCAAGAAGGTCGTTCGCGTGCCCCAAGAGTGTTGCACCAAACGCATTTGTCACGATTGGCGAAGTTTGTCGCGTTGGCCACGAATGCGCATCGCATCTCACTGCTGTGCAAGCCCAATGATGAAAAAGCAGCAGCAGCAGCAGCAGGTGACCTCACTGCATTGACAGAGTGGCTTAAGGGAACACCTGTCCCTCCGTTCAATGGAATTCATTGGTGTAATGTATACGCTTGCAATTCATTATATTTACAATGCATGCATGCACATTATATATAATTCAGTGTTATTGCTTATTAATTTTATTCGGTTCATTCTTGAAGGTTCGAACCGTAGAGTGCTTCATTATATAAACATGCACGTTTACTATTTTATAAATGTCCGTGTTTATCTGCTGCATTTGTACGTGTTATCATATTTGGCACGTGTACAATTTTTAGCTTTTACAGAATTGACTTCAAAACAACACGCGAGGAATGTGATGTTTTTCACAACTCACAGTAATGTCTTGGAATGTAATCATTTTCAAATTAGGCTCCCGGAATTATCGTTATCCGGTTCATGACGAACATTTTCATTTTGAAATTTTAAAAAACGATGCCACACACGCCACTCGGACGGGAGGTGGCCGGGTGTGGCTGAGACAACTCACAGTGGCAACAAAAGAATCAAACACCCCCACCCCCCTCCGGGAGAGGGCATCCACCAGCAGAGAGCGAATACATAAATCGGCTTGCGTGCAGGAGCTATGTGAATGTGTGCATTGTGAGGACTATGATAGGTAGAGGAGGGCCTTCGTCCAGCAAGAGCGATGTTGATGATGATGCATTCAGGCAGTGAGGTCGCATACAACTCTCCAATTGAGGGGACAAGCAAAAATACATACTGTAGTTGTCGTACTTGCAGCCAGAAATCGATTTAAAAAAAAAATGAACTCCAGTCTCTGATATTCGTGGACTTTTTTTTACCTTTACAACGGGTTAAAGAAGATTTTCGATACGTTTAAATCTAGAGATAAGCTGCAGCGCAATCTGTCTGAATCTGTGTCGGCTGGGCTCGCTTCCCCGCCCCGTTGCCGCCTCGGTTTGTCTGCACGGAGCGTGGGGATTATAAAATAGAGCTACACAGTAGCCATTCACAATACATATATTGAAATGAAAAAATAATTGCTTTAGTGTTTATATTGTGGCTTATAAAAAAAAATATTCCGTACTATCTGAAAATGCATTCCTGGTCATATAACCGTGTTATTTGTAAAACGAAAATGACAAGCGAAGATTTTGCTTCGTGCTGCTGCTACTCTCAATAAATAATGTAAATCATATATAATGTATTTTAAAATGCCCTAGTTTTAGAATGTTCACTTATGAATGCCGGTATCACATGGGTGAGCATTTATTCCACGCATGAGTTGCTGGTCCAATCAAATCCACATTTTCTTCAGAATAAATGTTTATTCGGAGTCAATTTTTACATTAAATTACATTAGAGCAACACTTTGCTGATTATTACTTACCCACCTGCCTACCCACCTACCTACATACCTACCTATGCACTCACCTACCTACTCACCTACCCACCTACCTACATGCCTATGCATTCACGTACCTACTTACATACCATCAATTCACCCACTCACCAACCTACCTATTTCACCTACCAATCCACCAACCCAGGAACCCAACTACTGTACCTATCTACTTACCAACCTATCTAACTACCGACCAGTTCACCCACGACCACTACCCTACCTCCTTACATACCTACTTACCTGCCTACCTCATGTATTCCTGTATTTGCATAGGTATATATGCACGGCACAACATCTTGTACTATTTCAGATAACTCATTACCATTCTATGAGCAGTAGAAATCTTGAAAAGCCTCAGATAGGGAGGAATGTATATTGTTATGTTTGTTGCCCTTTGGCGTTTAATGCAAATTCTTGGTTTGGTTTTGTGTTTTAAACATGTCTGGTTCAGTTAAACCACAACACAATCGCTGTTGAGGTCAAATTTAATGTTCTGAAATGTTTTCATCTTTTACCCCATCGTATTCCTGGTACACTGTTGGCGGCACTTCACGAGACAAAGAATTCATTCAGAAATCTCTCGGAGCCGTGCGATCCCCATGTGTGACCAAAGAATGGCTGCGTAAAAAAATATCTTCACTGAAACCTCTTCTGACAAACCCATCAAGTGGCATTTTATCTTGACACAAGATGGGGGTTGCAGTTTACCATAAGTCAACCTGTTTTCTTTTCCACGGTAATTTGACTGTCACATGATAATTAAAGCATTGGGTATTTTTTATCCTTCACGAAAAAGGAATTTAGTCAAATTAAGTGCAAAACCAAATGTAACACTGCATGATGGTTGTATTGAGCAATCATTGGTGACCGGTTTAGGCCATCGACTCGCTATGCTTGACAACTCAGTTTCAACCGAAAGTGGCTGCCCCAGATTCTATAAACTATTTTTATTTTACCAGATAAGGCCCACTGAGCTATTTAGCTCCTTTTCAGAAGCGACCTGGTCACTAATGATAGCCAAATGAAGTGGCTTATCACGTGTAAACTGATAGCCAAACACTCTGAACACATGTTTCTAAATGTGGAGGGAAAACCCGGAGGACCCAGAGAAAAATCCATGTGACCACAGGGAGAGAGACATGCAAACTCCAAATATACAGGCGTCAGGGTCGGGAGCGAACCCACGTCCTGTACACCAGGCGAGGTAGTTAACATCTCGCCACCGCAGCACCAAACCCAGGACCCCAGGACCTCAGCGGTGCCAGCTCAGCACTCTGAACTCTGAGCCACCCGGCCACTTTGTCATGGATAACACCCTTGTGAGTGTAGCACCGATTCTTTAGCCTACAGCATTCCAAAAAATGAACACAAAAAAAGTTTCGTGTCGTATATACAAATATCACATCATATTTCAGCTTTGATTCCCAGGACAGAATACCAGATTCATCCACTGTTGCACAGTCCAACATTTTTCTCCGACAGTATTATTTCAGTTTCTGGTCTTTCGGTGCCAAAATCCAGACACCATAGGCACCTAGTCTCAAGCCCATCGTGGTCAGATGCCCTCCTCCAGCCCACAAAAGGTGCCCCATTCATCACAAATTCTTATTCCTAATGATAACAATGTCATATTCTTGGTTCTTTCGGTAACGTCACGTGACTTTACCGAAAGAACCAAGAATATGAACCCCTGAAGTCACGAAAGCTTTAAATCAAAAGATAACAATGTCCTTTATTTACACAGGAAAGTCTCATTGAGTCTCAAGACTCCCTTTAATGTGATGTTTGACCAATTCCATTGATGTGTTTGGATTATGGGAAGAAACCGGAGCACCAGGAGAAAACTCAGACATATGAACAAATAACACATTCATTCCAGTGAGTTGATGCCATAATTGTGGACCGATCCCATTGCTGTTCTGCCATCAACTGACACTTCACAGCCTGCACAGGGATATGCCTATAACACCTGCTATGCACTGGTGGTCACTCATTCAAGCGACAAGGAGATTTGACCCTCCTTATCTTGCGAAAAACTAACGAGAGCGAGTGCATTCAGGATTATTTGGCTGCAACCTGTGATTTATTAGATCTACACCACTTATCTTGCGCCGCTCATTACAATTCTTGTAATGCTGATTGACCCTACTCTGTCATGAAAGTTCAGCTGAGGGTTAAGGACGTACTCCTGGTTGCACGGAGAGCATGAAAAATATGGCAATAACTCTGCGGTAGATCTGCCCCGACAAAATGGAATGTGCACAGCTAATTCTAGGTATTGGTCCTCGAGCCACTGGTCCAAACGTGGCTTCTCAGTACCACCCAGGGTGGCAGATGGTAACAATGATTCCCTCCAACATGTTTATCTCTTAGATCATAAATATGCACGATAGCAAAGTCAACCAGGCAGCACTTTACGCGATGAATGCCATTTATAAAAGGTGCGGTGGTACGTTTGACAGAGGATATAGTTTTGAAAAATAAACAAAAATAATTTCACGTGAAATATCCATGGCATATCAAAACCGAGGAGGAAGAGTATATATGAAACAGGCAGTATCTATGCCAGGCTTTCAGCCCATGGTGGACACTGCCCATGGTGGATTTTTCTACCACAGCTGGTACCAACCAACCTCCATGCTCTCATGGACTATAAAAGCATGATGCATTACAGCTGTACTCGAGTGCACACTCGAGCGAAGCAGTAGATAGATCATGTCTGGTATAATAATTCGAAATAATGTGTGGGGTTTTTTTTATTGTCATGCGAACAGAATCCAAGTTTGTGTGTGTGTGTGCATACTTACAAAACCACAGGCCAGACTGAATGCAATCTTACAGCCCAAAAAATGTTGATCTCACTGCATTTTTGGATAGCCTGGCGTTTTCACTTAGCTGGCAAGCACATCACTGATTTTCGTCCAACGTTCTTCACAATCTTATGGCATTTGAATGCCTAATGATGGTGTTCAAATGGTAGCACAAACCTCTGCAGAGTGCAGCGATCGTATCCTCTCACCCAAGATAGACATGAACGTTAAACAGTAATGGCGATAAGCCTACTAGCGCAGGGGCTCATTTAAGCTTCCAACATGTCGCTTTTGCGCCGCGTGTGTGTTTCAGTTGTACCATTATCGTTTTTTTTTAAATAAATAGACCTCGGCGGTTGAAAACAATGGTGCCAGCTGCTTCGATCACCCTTTCCTCCCTCTGCCAACCTCTGTCCACCCATCAGCATGTGTACACCAGTCGGTAGGCCGTGTACGGTGGGTATAAAGCGTGGGTACTTCCACCTCTTCCAAGATGTCTGGCCGGTCACGGTGGAGTCGGTCAAATACCCTCTGCGGGGGGAAACTCTCTCGAGATCGCCCGAGTGTGCAGCCCCTTGCGCCAGCAGTGACACGAGCGACTACTTGCAGGGCTGCATCTTTATCTGATTTTTTTGCCTTTAGACTACGACAGTCTCTCATTCTCCTGTCGGGCACTACACCCACGAGGCCACTTGCCATGCATTTTCGTTTATATATAGGCTCAGCAAATTTAGTTGTGCAGTAGTTTTGTTTTTGCCTTCAGGTATCAAACTTTTAACAATCATTGTCCCACCCCCTTCCCCACCCACTGCGCGATCCCCTCCCCCCTCCCCCTCTAAAAAAAATTTTGGCAAGAAATTAAATAATTGCAAGGAAAATTGTCTTAGAATAGAACTTGCTGACATGCGCACGTCAAAAAAATGTGCGCCACGTTGCAAAATATCATTTATTTCAAAACGGGGACGATTTTTTCTTGTTGATAAATGGCCCAAAAAAGACGCTCAATTCATTTTAAAGATGTTTATCTCCTTTCAATGTATGCGATTTGACATGCCACATTTTCTAATTTACAATAGGTTGTTTATATTGCCCCAAAAATGTATTTATGATAATAACAAAAATGAGAACAATAAGCCAAACCCAATGATTACGATTATATCGAAGTTGATGATGCTGATGATGAGGATATATATTATGCAGGCATGTGTTTCGTATGTCATCATGAATAATACACAGCTGTCCTAACTGTTGCTATTAAAAAGATTAGTGTCTCCAAGGCACTGAGGACATCTGAGGACACGGCATACCCATGAGTGTCCAAGGCTATTGAATGACCTTGACAGAAGGTGACACACACAAAAAAACCTTAAGCAAAGTGTGTTTGAACCCTCCACAAAAAGTGCAATCCAGTAAAACCGCATTTATCCACACTAATTCTGGCAGGCTCCCATATACAGTGAGGGAAAAAAGTATTTGATTCCCTGCTGATTTTGTATGTTTGCCCACTAACAAAGAAATGATCCGTCTATAATTTTAATGGTAGGTTTATTTGAACAGTGAGAGACAGAATAACAACAAAAAAATCCAGAAAAACGCATGTCAAAAATGTTATAAATTGATTTGCATTTTAATAAGGGAAATAAGTATTTGAACCCTCTCAATCACAAAGATTTCTGGCTCCCAGGTATCTTTTATACAGGTAACGAGCTGAGATTAGGAGCACACTCTTAAAGGGAGTGCTCCTAATCTCAGCTTGTTACCTGTATAAAAGACACCTGTCCACAGAAGCAATCAATCAATCAGATTCCAAACTCTCCACCATGGCTAAAACCAAAGAGCTCTCCAAGGATGTCAGGGACAAGATTGTAGACCTACACAAGGCTGGAATGGGCTACAAGACCATTGCCAAGCAGCTTGGTGCGATTATTCGCAAATGGAAGAAACACAAAATAACAGTCAATCTCCCTCGGCCTGGGGCTCCATGCAAGATCTCACCTCGTGGAGTTGCAATGATCATGAGAACGGTGAGGAATCAGCCCAGAACTACACGGGAGGATCTTATCAATGATCTCAAAGCAGCTGGGACCATAATCACCAAGAAAACAATTGGTAACACACTTTGCCGTGAAGGACTGAAATCCTGCAGCGCCCGCAAGGTCCCCCTGCTCAAGAAAGTACATATACATGCCCGTCTGAAGTTTGCCAATGAACATCTGAATGATTCAGAGGACAACTGGGTGAAAGTGTTGTGTTCAGATGAGACCAAAATGGAGCTCTTTGGCATCAACTCAACTCGCCGTGTTTGGAGGAGGAGGAATACTGCCTATGACCCCAAGAACACCATCCCCACCGTCAAACATGGAGTTGGAAACATTATGCTTTGGGGGTGTTTTCCTGCTAAGGGGACAGGACAACTTCACCGCATCAAAGAGACGATGGACGGGGCCATGTACCGTCAAATCTTGGGTGAGAACCTTCTTCCCTCAGCCAGGGCATTGAAAATGGGTCGTGGATGGGTATTCCAGCATGACTATGACCCAAAACACACGGCCAAGGCAACAAAGGAGTGGCTCAAGAAGAAGCACATTAAGGTCCTGGAGTGGCCTAGCCAGTCTCCAGACCTTAATCCCATAGAAAATCTGTGGAGGGAGCTGAAGGTTCGAGTTGCCAAACGTCAGCCTCAAAACCTTAATGACTTGGAGAAGATTTGCAAAGAGGAGTGGGACAAAATCCCTCCTGAGATGTGTGCAAACCTGGTGGCCAACTACAAGAAACGTCTGACCTCTGTGATTGCCAACAAGGGTTTTGCCATCAAGTACTAAGTCATGTTTTGCAGAAGGGTCAAATACTTATTGCCTTCATTAAAATGCAAATCAATTTATAACATTTTTGACATGCGTTTTTCTGGATTTTGTTGCTGTTATTCTGTCTCTCACTGTTCAAATAAACCTACCATTAAAATTATAGACTGATAATTTCTTTGTCAGTGGGTAAACGTACAAAATTAGCAGGGGATCAAATACTATTTTCCCTCACTGTACGCCGTGCATAGAGCCTTTGTGAGTAAATGTTTATTGCGAAACAATGCAACATAAATTGCCGCGCAATCGAGCGTAAACATCAAAGCTATTAACCGAGAAAAAGTCAACGCATTACTAATGACATGATAATTAAAAAAGTATAAAG